TACATGTCATCAGTCGCCCCTCCCTCCGTGAAAGCAACAGCAGACAATCGTTTTGCACCAGACAGGGCGATTAGAAGAGCACAGCAAGGCATGCTGCACATCAGAGAGGCTTTTGAAAACCAGTTTCATGACTGGCCAGGCTTCGGTGTGACAGTTGTGTGTGTTTCTCCTTGATGCAAACCCACCCCCTTTTTTATTTTAATTCCCTGTAAGCTAACCATCCTCCCCCTTCGAAATAAGGTAACTATTGTTTTGAAACCACGCATTCTTTCTTTATTAATTAAAAAAAAAAAAGAGAGAACAGACAAGGTAACCCGGATGGGGTGGGGGAGGAGGGAAGGACAAGGCCACATTGCTTATTGGAGCCACACTAAAAATCAAACTGTTTGAATGACAGCCTTCTGTTGCTTGGGTCATCCTCTGGAGTGGAGTGGCTGGGTGCCGGGAGCCTCCCCCCCTGCGTTCTTGGGTGTCTGGGTGAGGAGGGTATGGAACATGGGGAGGAGGGGAGGCGGTTATACAGTGGATGCAGCGGGGGTCTGTGCTCGTTGGCTTTCCTGCAGCTCTAACAGACGCTTCATCATGTCCATTTGCTCCCCCAACAGATGCTTCATCATGTCCGTTTGCTCCCCATTAGCCTAGCATCACGTCCTGCCTCAGTTCTTCACATGCACTTAATTCTTTTCTGGCCTCTGCCACTGAATGCCTCCATGCAGTAAGCTGTGCCCTATCAGTGCACGAAGACTGCATGAGCTTGGAAAACATGTCATCGCGAGTGCGTTTTTTTCGCCTTCTAATCTGAGATAACCTCAGGGACGGAGATGATAGGGGAGGGATGATTCTGGGGGGGCTGCATGGTCACCTGTGCTGCTGAGTTCGCCACGCTGACCAAACAGGAAATGAAATTCAAAAGTTCTCGGGGCTTTTCCTGTGTATCTGGCTAGTGCATCGGAGTTCAAAGTGAGGTCCAGAGCGGTCACAATGGAGCACTTTGGGATAGCTCATGGAGGCCAATACCACTACTGGATTTGCATCCACACTACCCCAAATTCGACCCAGCAAAGTCAATTTTAGCACTACTTCCCTCGCTAGGGAGGAGTACAGAAGTCGATTTTAAGAGTCCTTTAGGTTGACAGAACGGGGTTGGTTGTATGGACGCATTCATTTTTAAATCGACCTATATTTGACAGCTAAATTTGACCTAACCCCATAGTATAGACCAGGCCTTAAACTCCAGCCTGGCCAATATAAAAACTGTAATTCTCTCCTTGACAGCAGTATTCTTTGAGGGGTGTAACGCACATTCCCTTACAGGTAACACTCACAAATACATCCACTCTGTGGATACAACTGGCAGTTGCCTATGTGTAGCTTTACAATACTGGCCCTTCAGAAACTGCTGAACTCACAGGAGCAGTTGATATAACTGCTATTTCCTCAGATATATATCAGGATTGAAATGGACTGCTGCTGCTCCATACAAACAACCCTCCTCTATGGAGTCCCACAGGGCTTGATTTTCTCTTTTCTTGCCCTCCTTCCCTCTTTAACAAATTATTTCCATGGTTCATAGCATTTTGGAACAAAAGGATTTTATTCTTGATATTCCAACAAGTACAAAAACACAGAGGATTTGATCATCAGCTGACCTTAAAGGCCCTATTTTTGGAAGTTTTAAGAGATTCAATTGACTAGTGAAGAATTTTACAGTTTGCTAAGCAGGACCTAAGCATCTCATTAGCCATCAGCAGTGTCCGAGATTAAGGAACTAGCATTGTTCTATGAACCTGGGTTATTATACTTACCTCCCTATCTTTCCTGGACCAGTGGCATCTGTTGAGAAATAGTTTTAGCCCACTTGTGCTGAAAAGAAATCAGACTGTACCTCTTTATCTCTGTGATAATATGATAACACTGGGAATCTTCCTTTGCTTCTAAATTTGGAGCTACCAACGATTACGGGCTTGCTTGCAGTTCTGGGAACATAAAGTTCTCTGGGATAGGAGTCACAAATCTGCAGGACAAAATAAATGTACAATGTAAGTGTTTCATTTACAGACTATATCAAATCTGGTGCAAGATTTCTAACAGTGGACTGCTGTCCTTGCATGAATCATGACAGCTTTGTGGATAAGAAGGTGGTTATAGCAGGGCTAGATGACACAGGTAAAAACACTTGCACCTGACATACAGAAATATGCCCATAATCCTTCCTAATGTACACACACCACAAGTGATACATGGATTAAAGGGTATGAAAGAATGATTAAATGAAAATCATACGCTGTGGAAGGGGACTGAGACACCAGTGTACAGTCTATCAAAATGAGATCACAGAGAATAATTCCACAGTAGTAGTATAGAAAGATCACACCCTTTGCACCTATCCCCAACATCACTAATGCCAGGGTAGGCTTCTCCCTCACTGAAAGAGTTGTTCTGCTGCTCCTTTACAACAGGATTTCCATGGCTTACCCTCAAAATAGGACTGTCATTGAGGGAAAATGAGAAAGAAACCATGCTATCAAAGACTATCCCAACACCAAAAAACCGAACGGGGAGGGAGAGAGTCACAAGTAGGCTCTCCCATCTTCTGCATCCTTTCACTTTAGGCAGCAAACTCATGACTCAAAGGGTATGTGGTTTGCAAGACATTGCAGATATTGTGTTGGACTGGAATCAGAGGTTATAAAATCAAACAGGCATAAAAATAAACATGTTTCCTCCACTGCAACAGATTCTCTATTATCCTTTACCTCATAATCACGATTAGCATCGGACAACTGCCAGTTAGAGTTTGGCACTCCCATACGCTTATATTCTTCTGCTAGGTCAATGAGCTGCCAGCCTTGCAGCCGCTTCGACTCATTTTGTTTTGGATTGTAAGAGAAGGCATACAGTTCATTGTAGCTTGCTAAAGGAAACAAGAAAATAAGATATTATGCATGGAGTCAGATCCCAGAGTCTTTTTTGTCAGAAAAAGGGCAGGAATAGTTGAATTCATCATCTGATTATCTTTGTAGTTCTGTAACTGGGCAAGATATTTTATAAGTATTCATGGTGGGTAAACTTTTCGAAAATGCCTACGTCACTTAGACTAAGCGACTTTGGTGCTTTTGAAATATTTTACTCAATATGTAATTTCTGCCCCAAAGAGTTTACAATCTGAAGTCACACAGGTACCATACAGTTAACTGACAAAAAAAGATGAATGGACATCAGCACAGGTAAGTTTGGTGGAATGTAGGTTTCAGTATTTTCTGAAAAATAGGGTGGTTCCTAGCCATACATCAACTGTAACATTTTCAAGGTTTAAGGGGCAACATTAAGAGTAGCACAAAGTTAGGAGTGGATTAGAGATAAAGCAGGCGTCTCAAACTCAATTTACCTTAGGGCCAGTGCCAATCCTCAAATCCTCCCAGCAGGCCAGTAATGTCACTCATGCCACCCAGAACCCACCCCCCAAAACTCTGCGCTGCCCCCCCGCCTAAGGCTCTGGGAGGGAGTTTGGGTGGGGGAGGAGGTCTGGGGTAGGGGATTGGGTTGCAGGCTCTGGGAGGGAGTTTGGGTGCAGAAGGGGTGAGAGGTTGGGCTCTGGGGTAGGGGATTGGGTTGCAGGCTCTGGGCTCGAGTTTGGGTGCTGGGTGCAGGCCCTGGAAGGGAGTTTGGGAGCAGGAGGAAGTATGTGGGGAGGAGGTGGGGTACAGGCTCTGGGAGGA